ACAACAGTGGTCCTAATTTAATTCATTAGGGTATTAATCTAGTGGCAGCATACACATGTCCAGGTTTTATTAGAAAACTTAAAAGCAAATACTTTCTTCGCATGAGGCTAAGAGAGCAGATTACCTTCCAAGCAAAGGTATGCTTGTATACCAGTGTGGACAGATAATGAAGATGTTCCTTTCCTGAAGCTAGGAAGGAAGCTTCCTATTTATTCCTCTGGCAGCTAAAGCTCAGATTTTTGGCAAGACAGCACATTCCCCACCAGAGGATCATATTTCTGGAATTCTGGGACAATGAAGAAAGCAGATTTTTTTTTCAAAGGAAGCTTCATGCTATGTTTGCTTAACAGATATTTAGTCAAAGTGAAGTGAGAGTGAGGGGCTCTGATTTGATTTTGATGATGGGAAAGACTTAGGAGATCATCTTGCATTCACAGTGGAGCCAATCCCAAACACACAGTTTAGGAAAGGCGATTTACAAATAACGACAGGGAGAAAACCCAAAGAGAAAGGTCATTATGAAATAATCATTCCCTGGAAAGGAAAAACTGAAGTGTTTTCCATTCATTTTGTAAAAATTAAGCTTTTTATGCAATTAAGTTTAAAGTGCTAAATCTTTCCTCCATTCTACTGATTGAGTCTCTAGAAGGATCTTTCATAACTACAGATTTCACTGATGAGTGCGGAGGGCTGGTGCCTAAAAGATAAAGGTCTACACTAAAGTTTATCCCTCCAAATCAAGTGTGATAATGCAGTCCACACATGCATTCCCCATCAAGTGGCACTATTCTGATGCCAAATAAAAAATGAAGCAACACTGTTTGTTATTCTTTTCTTTTAGTAAATCATATGTGCTGGAAGATAACAGCAAAGTTCACATTGCCAAAGGGAATTTTATATCTATAGAGTTTATACAAGGAGAGGGAAGTGTCTGAATTGGGAGGGCAACTGTATTCGTAGGCACATATCTACATACATGTTCATGTGTCCGTGTGTGTGTCTGTGTGTCTCTATGGTTGTATGCACACTCAGTTTCAAATGGAACAGTTTCAAAAAAAACTAATTTTGGGGGAAAGGAATTAAAAACCTCAAAAAATGTCCCTATGATTTACAGTTTCACATAAAGTTCTGATCACAGTGTCTAATATTACCATTTTGCACACATGGGAATCTGACTTAGTCATTTCCATGATGAAGTGCATAAGTTTCATACTGAAACCCAAACTTACCATTCCCAAATTAACTCTGCAATGAAACACACCTGTGTGATCTCTATGCAACAAATTCCTATTCAAATCTCCACCGTTGCCATTTAAATATCGGTCATCTATCCATTCTCTTTAAATATCATATTTAATTATACTTAAGAATGCTCATCAGAGCCTTGGAAAAGTTACAATAAAGACATGTAGGTTTCCAGATTAGACAGGGACTGAGTCCAGCTGACCCTCTTCTGCACCTTTTCATAACCAAACCAAAATGAGAGAAGGAAAATAAAACCACGGGGAAGTTCAGTTAACATAAACTGTGGAGAAGTCTCTGCCTGTTCTGCTAGATTACAGATGGATCCAGACTAAAGAAAGGCTCTGGGAACCTTGCTGGCAATTCCACTTTCCAAGACAGGATGTAGTATTTGGAAGGAAAAAGTTGAAGACAGAGTAGGACTTGAGGCAAGGAGTGTGTACTTGACTCATTACCCATTTAACTGTTTTGGATCAACAGGACTCAGAGGCCCCCAGGCAAATCTGGCCAAATCAAACAGTGGCCGATATAGGGCAAGCTTATTCCTGCTGGTGTGGGCAGTGACATCAGGAATAAGGCCAGCCACTGAGACCTCCTGAGTACTTGGAGTGGAGGCCAACAGAGAACTGGGCTGCAAAACAGCCCAGCCTGAAGCAATGACTTCAATAAACAGACAGCATCTTTAAGGGGTTATTTCACCTCTTAAAGGCAAACTCTTCCCAAACTTCACAGAAAATGAAAAAACACAAATGAAAAATAATAGATTGACCAAATGATACCTGGTGTTTCCATCATCAAAATTAAAAGGCAAGAGAAACATGGAGAAAAAATATTTGCCCCATAGTGGGAGAGTTCTATCAGCAGGAGTTAATACAATTAGGATATAAAGAGCATTTGCAAATTAATAGGAAAAAGATGATGCTCAAATAAAAAATCTCATAAGGATCCCAAAATATTTTAATGGCTATTCAAAACAAGAGAGAGTTATATATAGCCAAGAACAAGGACATACAACATTAAATGGGACTCCATTTTTCACACAGAAAGTTGGGAAGAGTAGGAGGATGTTCAAATGATGCTGATACTAACCTGTGTCAGCTGCATCCTGGGCTGACCCAGGTGTGCAGGTGGGAATGCAATGTGGGACCAATACAGAGCAACGTGGCACATGCAACCAAGGCCTTAAAAATGGGCATACTCTTTAATGTAGTAATGCCCACCACCTCAGGAATTGGCAGTAAGGAAATTACTAGATATGGGAAAACTGACTCACACAGTATTATTTGCAACAGCCTAAACATGTTACAGGTGATTACATAATGAAAATAAAGGCACATTCCACAATGGAATACCATGCACTCATGAAAAATGATAATGTAAAGGTGTATTTCTTGCTTTGGAAAGAAGGCCCAAAAGACAATGGAACAGAAAGCGAGTTATAAAAAGGAATGTACAATATGGTCCTTTGTTGGGTAAACATTATGTATGACATATGTAAAACATAGCTATTACCTTGACAACTGCAAGAAGTCAAGAAGAGTGTGCATAGCAAAAGAGTAGAGAGTATTTTGGGGAATATTTTTAATAAATTTGTTTTCTACAATAAATATGTTATCTGTAAGACAAAATGTATTTTAAAAGAAAAAAAAAAAAGAATCCCAGAGATGAAAGAATCTAGATCCAAAAAGATATTTAAAATATCCACAGTATTTCTATACTTAAAGAATAACTTCATTTGAAAAGATGCCATTCATGACAGCAATAATGAATATATTTAGGTCTGAAGTTGGAAAATATATGTAGGACTCTAATTTTTAAGAATCTACAAAACATAAAACTGTGGCATACCACAGTTTTGAATTGAAAGGAATATGATTATAAAAATGTAAATAATCCCCAAATTAATTCAATATTTTCTATACTTAAAAACAAATTCTGGCTGGCTTCCTTTGGAACGTATAAAAAGTGAACTAATTCAGACTAAGTAATAGATACATATGAATTAACTTTAAAAAGTACAGATATTTTTTAAAGGAGAATTTGCGTTACAAGGTATTTGACTATATCATAAAGTTATAATAGTTAAATCATTTTGGCAAAGTTGAAAGATAATAGGTAACAGGATGGAATAGAAAACTAAGAAGAGATTAAATCTCATAAGTATTTAGTACTAAATAAAAGTGCCATTAATTAACTTGGAAAAGGATGGTTATTAAGCAAATAGTGCTGAGTTAACTATTAAAAATTAAAATTAGATGTTTTTGTCATAGCAGGCTTTAACATAAATTCCAGATGTATTAAATTGTTAAATGGAAAACTATTGTTGTGGTTTTTTTAAATTTGGGAACTGAGAAGACCACTCTAAGAATAAAAGCAAATATAGATTCTTAAGGACAAAGTTTGATAGCTTTGAGTATATAAAAATTTAAACCATCCAACAACACTTCAATAACAAAAGTAAAAGATGGTAAACTAAAAAAAAAAATTTTTGCAGCATATACTAAAAAAGAGGTAATGACTTATGATATCAAAAGCGTTTACAAATAATTAAGGGGGGAAGTTACCATAAATAAATTATGATCAGATAATTATCAAAGGAAAAACCCCAATCACCTAGTAAACATATAGGAAAATATTCACCGCCCATAGAATTAAAAATCTGAATTTGCCAAATGATATTTCTTCTCTATCAAGTTGGCAAAGATACTAAAAATAGCATATGATATTGGTGAACATGTTGCAAATTTATTGTGATAATCTGCTGGTAGGAATGTAAATTTATCTAAGCCCTTAAGGAGAATAAGGGGATCGATACAATGGAGTTTGCAAAAGTTCAAATCCTTTAATTCTGTAACTTTACAGAAATTCTTCCTAAAGAACTAATCAAAAGGGCCCACAAATATTTGTGTTTATAATAACTTAACAGAAGACCTAAACGTCCAACGATGAGTCATTGGAGGGATAAATTATGACTTCAGCATTCCGTGGAATAGTATGCAACTGATGTAAAGCATTTAAACATGATATGAAAAATAGAGACTACAAAACAACAGAATGCCAATTTGGTTAGCTAACTAGCTAGCTAGCTCTGAACACCAGGCAAATGTTCCACAACGTGGTAACAGGGCCTTTTTAAGGATACTGGGATCCTTGTAATTTCCTCCTCATTTTTGTTTAATTCATTCCACAAACATTTCTCACATTCCTGTAAGTTTCGCATTTCCCTTCCACCACATACGTACTACTTTATAATCAGGAAAAAAAAAGTTAAATTTTGTAAAACTTTGTCCTCTGTAACTGACTTCCTCTTCCAGATGCGAAACATCTTATAAAGAACTCCAAAAACAGCAAGGGCAATCATTGAAATGCATGTTCAGAGCCTATAAAAAATAACGTGAAGGGGAACTGGGTCCTACCTTTAGAGACACTTCATAAAACATAATCCCCTGCTGGGACAGCTTGGACATGGTCTCCCCGACAAGAGCGAATGTGGATAGGATCTTAAGGAGTCCTTCCTAAGAGGGCCCTCAAAGAAGACCACTTACAGCTCATAAAATCCATACTCCCCGGGGACCCCTAACACAACAGGAACGGAGGGGGGGCTCTGTTTTTCTTGTGGGGACGCTGGACTGGGGGAGGTCACGGTTTGTCCAAGACTGACCTCGGGGTCAGAGCTGGGCAGGCAGGGGTGGGTGGGGACGACCCGGGGGTGGGGTGGGGTGTCGCGGGCCGGGGTCTGGGAGGGGCGGGCGCCTTACCGCGGCTTGCTGGAAGGCGCCCTTGGTGTAGGTGCCGCCGCCGCGGTAGGTGATGGCCGGGATCTCGCGGCTGAGCAGCGCGCACTTGTGCTGGTGCGCGCGGCGGGAGGAGATGTAGTCGACGCGCGGCACCACGTTGTTCTTGGACGAGAAGGTCACGATGGCCACGCGCGTGGCGGTGGGCACCACGGGGAAGTCGGACAGCAGCTTGCGGACGAACTTGAGCTCGCTGAGGAAGTTGGCTTGGCCCACGCTGGACGACTCGTCCACTAGGAAGACGAGCTCCAGGCGCTCGCTGAGCTCCCGCAGGCGCCGCACGCGCGCCCGGAACGCCTGGCCCAGCCGCTCCACTTTGCTCTCCGCGGCGTCCTCGTCGCCCGGCGCGAGCGGGGCGAGCAGCCGCCCGGGGGCCCCGGGCGCGGCCTCCGGGAAGAGGCGGAAGCTGAAATTGCGCGACGGGGACATCTGCTGAAAGGTCGCCCAGCCCGAGACGAGCGCCAGACCCCAGCAACAAAAGGCCAGGCGCGGCCACATGCTGGAGACGGAGCGGCCGCCCCGGGAGTCCGGGCGGCGGCCGGGCAGGCGGAGGGGCGAGCGCGGCGCGGGGCGGCCGCGAGCCTCAGCGCGCCTTCATCGAACCCTGGGGACGCGATCCGGTCCCGCTGGCAGCTCGGGGGCTCGGGAGGGAACGGCGCGCGCGCGCTCCCCTTCTCGCGCTGGTCCTTTTCCCTCCTCTCGCCTCCTCCTTTCTCCCTGAAGCCTATAAAATGTTTGAAGGAAAGGGGGCAGTCAAGAAAAATCTCCCGCTCGGTCTCCCTCTCCCTCCTCTGTGTGTGCGTCTCCCCTCGCCTTCCCCTATCTCTGCCCCTATCTCTCTCCTCCCCCTCTCCGTCTTCTCCCGGGAGCAAGCCAAAGACTCGGAGATTCCATGACACCAGAACCCCGCGTCTGTCAGGCTGTCAACATTCCCGCAGCAAGCGCACCAGCGCCGAAACCCTGATTGATCCCATATGTCTGGCAGGAGCTGCAGAGGAATTCACTGGAGATGGATCCAGATACCGAGAGTGCCACAGTAATTGGAAACACTTTGTAGAGGAAAACACACGGACTGGCTAGGGAGTTGAAAGCATCCTTGGAGAACTGCTAGCTCACCTTTTGTGTCTCTTTTACCCCCGGCGGTGCCCCAGACCCTCCCTAAATAGGTGTTTATTTGACTTTCCTGGTGGACAGTTCGGATCAGTGGCGTGTGAGTGTGCAGACTCTTGAGAGCCCCCTCTGATCACAGCGTGTAGGGGCGGCACCTACCTCCATGCACCCCGTAGACACGCTATGTCACAGCACCTCTTTCGTGCATTTGTTTACTCATTCTTTTGTTTATGCCTTCTTTGACTCAACCAGTATTTTTGAGCACTTGCTAAGCATCAGGATTATAGGGAAGAAATTGACTTGGATTCTGACCCCCGAGGAACTTACCAAACAACAATGAGGTGACCATTAATCAGATAGTCACACAAATAATATTTACAATTGCAGCTGACTGTGATAAATGCTAAGGAGATCTTAGGCTAATAGTCTTGACCTTGGGGAGCAAGGAAACCTCTGAGGATGTAAATTTGTGCTGAAATCTGAAGAATGAGTAGGGTCCTACATTCCCCTTTCATGTCCTTGCGGTCTATTTCAACAAGTGACCCTCGCGCCCCCTCCACAGAAGTCTCTATCCTTGGCTTTGAATGATACCTGATATGTAGCTTACTTTAAAACTCAAGTTGCTGACTACAAGTGGCTATTCCAAAGCAAGGTCCCAAAGTGGATGGAGTAAAGAGGTAGAGAAGTGAGGTCCTAGATTAAAAGATGCCAGCTAGGAATCAGGTCCTCTGTGTAGATATGTCTCTGCCACTATATAAACCATCTGAGCCAAGTCACTTCAATCCTTGGCTTCAGTTTCTGCATCTATTTTGTGATGGAATTCAATGATCTCAGTTTCCTCTGTCTCTAATAGCAGATTATTTAGTTCCAACTTTAGTTAATGAAAGATAGCACATATTTAATGAGAGATTTCACCATATGTTGATTGAAATATTAGAGCTCTGGAGTCAGTTTGGGATAAAATCTTGGCTCTGCCATTAGCTGGCTGTTTGGCCTTGACATCATTCACTCATCTATAAAAGGAGTAATGTATTAAGGTTGAGCATTAAAATATAAGAAAGTAAAGTTCTTAAAACAGTGCTAAGTATGTACTTGATAAATGTCAATTGCTACTATTGCCATCTTTAATTATGAATACTATTCAAATCCCTATTTTTCTTATTATTGACCTTCTACTATGCGCCAGGATGTGAGATATTGAAGATTTAACAGTGAATAAGAGTCACTCTTAGTTCTCCTGAAGTTCAAAGGATATCAGAAGACCATAGATTTGCAAACAATCAACAAAGCAAAAAGAAGCAAGCAGAAGCAAAGGAGAATGGGGACTAAGGAGAAGGAGAAATCTTCCTGGAAAATGAACAAGACTTCATTTGAGCTAAGAGTTTTAAAAAAATGTTTTTCCAAATTTCATCTACTCTGTGTCATTTCAAACACACCATTAAGAGCTAACATTTGAGAGCCCTTATGTGCCAGATATAATAGCAGCTACTTTTATGCACTACCTCATGTGTTCCCCACAAAACCCCAGGAAGGTGGACAATTGCTTTAGGACTTTATGGTTGTTAGCAACAGGCACTCAACTTCTCGTTTAAAAAAAAAATGGAATTTCTAGACTCAGGGACAGCAGTAAAGCTGGTCTCAAAAAGGGTTAGGAAGTGAAATCAAGAACTGTCTATGTCTTCAATTTCCTCTCTTTCTGCTTCTTCTTGTTGTTAGATTTAGTCTGTCTTCAAATTTATGGACTGAGAAGAACTCTTCCCCACAAACTAAAATTAAAAAAATTAACAAAAGCAATCACCACCATTACCTTAAAGCAGCACTCCATTGAAGCAGCTTGGCTTATTCATTCATCTCTTAACTCAGCACCCTGAGTAGATGAGACTTTATAATTATTCTAACGTAGGTCATGTGCTTACTGTGGCAGAAATTCCTAGTCACCTACTCACCACATCTGATCTTCTGTTCTTCAATTGCCATACATCATAGGTTGTCTAAAATAAGGACAATCTATCCAAGTAACCCTTGCAACTGAATATGGCCACATAACTAGGTTCTGAGTAATGATTTATGAGTGCTGAGTTTGTGCAACAGCTTCCAGAAAACTTTAAAAGCCACTATTTTTATCTGTTGTCTTTTCCTTTCATTCTTTAGTCCATCTTTCTGTTTAGAACATATAGTGTCAGGATTCTAACAATAATCTTGGACCATAAAAATATGGTCCCATTCTAGTGATGGACAAGTAATAAGCTGGAAAGGAACCTGGGTTGCCGCAGAGCAGACGTCAGAAGCAGGACCATGGTACCCACCTCAGGGTGCCTGTCTAACCTTTTGATATTGAGATTTCTGTCTTATTCCGCCCAACTTAATCCTGATTAGTAAACTCAAACCCATGAGTGGAGACTACCCTCTCAACACATGCTTTCATGAATGATGTGGCAGAGAAAAAGGGACAGAGCGAATTGCTTACTGGCATCTAAAATTGTCTCCCAAAGGTTACAACACATCATTTCTGCTCCATTTCATTGATTAAAGAAAATTATATGGCCAAGTCTATCCCAAAGGAGAGGAAAGTGCAATCCAACCATAGTTCTAGAAAGCTAAAAGCCAAAACTACTTGATGAACAGCTCAAATAATTAAGTTATGTTGCAGTGAGAAGATAAGTTAAGTCCAAAAACCTTGGAGATTTTAGTCTACCCTAAAATTTAGGCATTTCCTTTAGGAAAGAGTTGTAAATCAGTATCTACAAGGACTTTCTGAACTTCTTGAGGACAGTACTCACACGTAATGGTGAATTATATATATATATATCAGTACTCAATTCTAGCAAGGTATTTGTAATTGAGCAGTGGTGAGGATAACATTAAATTCTTCTTTCCTACATTTTTTATTCCAGCCCTTATGAAGTCTTCGTCTTTCTTGGCACACAAAAAATACCCAATTGAAACTAAAATAGTTTCTGAAACTAAATTCATCATATAGCAATATATTTCCTTTATGATTACATTAAATGATATCATCTATCAACTATTCTAGTAAATGCCTTCTTTTTAAAATAGTGGTGAAAGTAGCAGTATTTTAAGTTACCTACCATGGGTCCAGGTGCAGTTAGCGCTCCCTGGATAATTCTGATACATAGTCTGAGGGTGAGAACCTAAGGCCGACCTGCTCTGGCATTGTATATTTCCAGTGGGCTCAAGTCAGGCAAGAGCAGAAGCCGGAAAAATTTCCATTTCCGTGTGTACTGGGAACAGTGTCTTGCTTTGTTTTAAAATCTCTAAGGCTGGGTTAGTGAATCTGAGACAGGTAGTCGACACAGGAGGAAGGAGTATATATTATAAGATTATATTTCTGTTATAAATTTGACAAAGACACCTCCTACATCAGAGGTGGGGAAAGAGTGTCATCTGCATGTTGCTTTAACTAGGATTAGCTGAAGATGGAAGTCATGATAGAAAACTATCAGTGGGCATTGAAAACAATTAAAAAACTAATTAATAATAACTGTTGGAAATCTGGCTGTGGCATTAGATATAGATATAAAATATTTGAAATACCTTTACCTTTTTTATGTTAAATCCTGCCAAACACCATCTGAAATAAATATATCAGTTATCTCATTTTTCTAGGCAAAGACATAGACAAAGCCTGGAAATATAAATGATTGATTTTCTCTTACATTAAAATGCCTCTTGCTAGAAGCACAAGCTTGTGGTACCTCTCCACTTCTATCTATGCATTGCCTTCCATGATTTGTTATCTGAGCTCACTGAATAAAGATGTACCTTTGACCAAGCCCACAGGAATTGAGGCAATTTAGATCTAGCGATCTACTCCACACAATCATGTCAGCCAATATCCATTTTTGGAAATAATCCAACCAGTCCCTCACCCTTCTGGCTCATGGGACAGTACACCAGCCTATTGGAACCATTCCTAGCATTCTTCTCACAGTCCATCCTACTCAGGTGTTAGGTGGTCCTTCGTGTGGGGAAACGCATCTCTTCAGGCTTGTTGCTTCAAGGAAAATGGTCCCGAGCCATGTGCTTTCCATAGGTCACACCACACCATCACCTTTACACCTTGTGTTTGGGTGACTGAAGTCTGGCATGGATTGTCTTGAGCCAACATTGCTTACTATTTTCAATGAGCCAACATTGCAACATTGCACTACTTTTTCCTGCGCCAACAATGCATTACTATTTGTTTGCATCCCGTTGTCATGAAAAGACACCATCTTCCTAAAAGCAGGTATTCTTTCCCAGGAGATCTAACCTCCATAAGCAACAAACTACAGCGGTGGCTAGCCTAAGTCTTGTAGGACTGGTATACTGAAATAGTGACAGGCACATGTGTTGAAAACCTTTCATATAATATAAGGGACTCCCAT